CATCCATGCTTGAATCGGCAAGAAGGCTCCTGCAGAGATCTTTCGATGGCTGCGCACCCGAATCCATTGTCGTGTTGAATGTTGTGTTGTTTGCAGTGATGTCCACCGTCGACGCGGTAGAGGGCGTCGGGATGGTGGCCTGGGAACAAGATCCCGCCGCCATTCCCTTGGGGGTCGTCAAAGACGTCACGGCACCGTTCTTGGAGGMAATGTTGACGACAATGCCGTTCACGTCGTTGCCGTTCGCGTTTTGTGCTGGGGATTGATCTTTTCTCTCCGTTGGCGATCCGGAGTCCGAAGCCCCATCGTTTTTCTTGGACCTCGGAGTGATGGCCCGCATTCCGGCCTTGACAAGAGAAGAAATCATCGTTTGTTGTTCTGTCCAATACAATGTGGACGTGCTACTATGGATTCTTTCGGACAAAATCCCACAATAAGGTAAACCGCCGGACTCCTCTCTTTACTGCTCGTGTTGCAACAGTCCTACTTCGTCGCTTCGGGTACAAACGACCCGCAATACCTGTATCGATTCCTTTTGCATCTCTTGTTTAGAGATGTGTGGAAAACAMAARTTTCACTCCAACAAAATACCGCAAAGTCTTAACGTACCGTTGATCCTATGTAGTACTACAGTACATTCTATCATTACACGTTTGTTGCAAGGTTTCAACGCGTTGTGAAGAAGATCAATTGACGTGGAACGAACCAAGCTGTAGSAGTTGTTACTGTAGAGAGAGAAGACGGCTAACCTTGGAAAATATGGCGCGGACMAAAGAGTGATTGCAAAAGCAATCTTGGAAACATGGTGAGTCCCGAGTATGAAGAAAAGAGAAAAGAGCGTACGATTGTACGAACTCGTACCATACGGTACGTTCCATCGTTAATTTTAAAGTGCATAGGTAGAAGATACTAGTAGAAGATAGTGTTAGTTCAAATCAAAGAGATCTTGGGACTTCTTGACCAAGTCTTCGGATCACTGYGATCGACATTCGACATGCATACCAATATGAAATCTGGTTATTGGTGTGCAGTACAACATTCAGACTGATCGGCTTACAGAACAGTAGAAAGAATATACCAAAGAAATAAGACTCCTGGATAAAGTCATAGTATGTAACGATCAAAAATCAATCGTTTGGCTTGCATTGGATTGAATAGAATCAAAATTATTTGTTACCGTACTCAATTATTACGAAGCTAGAAGCCTAGCGACAAGTTCAGACTTCTTGCCGGAAACGGGGAGACCGGCATCTCGGAGTTTTTCTTTCAGTATCACAACGGTGAGTTTGGACAGTTCTTCTTCTGTTAGAGACGATTCTTCGTCTTCTTCTACTGCCTCGATTTCCTCCTCCTCATCTTCTTCAGAAACAATTTCGATGTCGGCTTCGTCTTCGTCATCGTTATCTCCTTCCTCCTCGTCATCKTCTTCGAAATCGTCCACGGACAACTCGAAATCCTGCCCGAAATCAAAACCGTCGTCCTCCTGTTGTTTGTTGTAGGGCATGCTATGCTGGTCTTCTTGGACCGTCTCGACCTTCCATTCCTTGGTGCGGTCGTCTACGCTCACGCCGAAGCTGTCTCCCAGTTCGTCTCGAATCGCGTCCGCGGCATCGTAGTCCCGATCGCGCTTGCACTGGAACCGTTCGCGGAGCTTGCTCGACACGTATTCGATGTCGGCGTCCGAAAGGCTGCCGGTGTAGGCGGCGAAATACTCGTTCGTGTCGACCCTCCATTCGCTGGATCGATCGTCGATCCTGACATCGTACCGAGCTTCAAGGTCGTCACGGATGGYATCGGCCGCGTCAAAGTCTCGGTTTTTCTTATRGGTGTAGCGCTCCGCCAGGAGGCCCTGGATCTCTTCGACGGCTTCGTCCGACAGGTTTCCTCCCCCCCTCCGGCTGTAGACACCCCTCGGTTTGTTGTTACCCCCGTCTTCGTCAAAGGCCCCTCCTACCGACCACATCTTCAGCTTGTCATTGATCGAGACGTCATAGTCCTCGAGAAGGTGCTGGCGAATGTCATCGGCGGTTCGGAAGTCGCGGTCTCTCTTGGCYAAAAATCGCTCGTCGATTTGCTCCTGGATATATGTCTCGTCTCCTGGGGAGACCGACAAGGAGCTCTTGGATTTGATGTACCCCCGGGTGGCGAACTGATGTGCCAGCTCCCGTCTGTTGTTGTGTTCCTCGCCGAAATCACCACCCACGCTCCACATTTTCAATCTAAGAATTGGTTCCGACGGTTGCGATTTGATATCCACAAAATTTCCCAAGATTCGATTCCGTGTCGAAAGTAAAAAAATGAAGTTAGCACACCAAAGTAGCCAAAATAGACCCACGATCAGCGACGGAGATCTRCTTCATCATTGTAGAAGAAAATGRTCGAATCCGAACTCACCTATCGTCAATAAGAACGTTGTATYGAGTCCTAAGGCCKTCTCGGATGGCATCGGCCTTGTCRAAATTCCTGTCGAGCTTGAACCTAAGTCGCTCCGCAACGAGCTTGTCGATCATCTCGTCGWCGACACCCTCGGCATTTGMGGAGAAGGAGGATTTTATGTATGCAATATCGTAACTGCTTCGGCTGCCCTCGRTTTTTCCGGGATTCCCTCTKCGGTCATGGCCCCGCCGTTCTGAAAAATCACCGTAKGGAACACCATCCCATCTCCATTCTTTGATCCCGTCGTGGACAAAGACACCCCGTGCGACGAGGTCCGTCTGAATCCCRTCCGCGGTCCCAAAATCACGGGATAGTTTTGCCATGAGGCGATCGGCAATCATCGCGTGGATTTCGTCTTCTGCCAGACCAGAGGAGTTCGGTCCGACGTCGGYGGACATCTCGTAATCGTGGCCGTTTGGACCAAAATTTTGTCGGGGTCGTCGGCCGCCTCCTCCGCGGTGTGGACTGCCACGTCCTCCTCCGTTCCGAAAGTTGCCACGGCCGCTTCCGGAAGCCGAGACGCCGGTCCTCCAGGTCCTTTCTCGATCATCGATACCTACATGATAGTCTGTCAACAGCTCTTCACGGATGGCGTCGGCGGTTTCGTAATCGCGATCTCGTTTTGCATCGGACCGCCGGCGGATCATGTCCTCAACGGTGGCTTCATCGACGTTTGAGTTGTCCTGAGAAGTGTCCCGTTCGTACGAGAAGGATTGTCGCCCTCGACCACCTCGACCACCTCGACCACCCCTTCTCCCGCCATAGCTACCACCGCCACCACGAGATGAGTATGAATCTCGTCTTCCTTGTCTTCGACCGCCTCCGCCTCCATATCCACCATAATCATCACCACTGCTGTTGTAGGAGTCGTACTTGGAGGGATCGTAATCAGCGAAAAAGTCATCGTCGTCACTCATAAGAAGTGCACTTTTTTGTGCATGTTCGATAACAGGGCAAACCTTACTGACAGCTGCCGGGGAAAATGAAAACGCCAAAGACGACGACGCAGAAAACGTCGATAATAGAAAAGACACAGGGCCATGAAGCTTCATGATAAYTATTGCTTTAGTCTTAGTGCGAATGGTTTGAAAAGGCACTATGCCGTTGGGTTAGTGAAGGATTCTGAATAGGGCCTTCTTGTTCACGACTACAGTGCTCGCTTTGAGCGTTCTCAAAATCCGAAAGAAAAAGGTGTTCGTTTTCCAGAKATACCATACAAAAAACGTACTGGTGGTACGCAGTCAGATGTCTGATGATGATGGATTATGGCGTTTCGAAAACGCATGAAAAATGGATGATAACGATGGGTTGTCAGTTGCCCTGCCTGTACCGTACGTACGGCTTCCATACGTTCGTTGACAAAACGACCAGTTCGAATACTTATTAGGGACTAAATCAATCACTAAGGAAAGAAGCATTGAAAACAACGTTGCAGTAGAACGTACGGTACCGTAGCACCATCACCAGATTACTGTACTACCGTACGGTTCGTTCGTTACTTCAGCGGTACAGTCCATACGTTACTCATTTGTCGTAGTTCTTCAATACGATTTGATCCGCACGTCTCTTGATAAATGGTACTGTACTTCGTACTGTAAGGTACTCGTATGCTTCTTTAACGGTAGGCCACAAAACAGAAATTATGTACGCTTACGGGAAAGTGCGTTTACCCACGTTTACCGTCATAACACCTGAAAACAAATACTTCGTACCAGGAGAAGTGTTGTTCAACGACAAAGGAAAGAAAGTTAGTATCGCATTCCTGCGGACGGAAAACATCTTTTGATTGGTTCCAACCATACTGTACTCCTACCCAAATCGATTACAGTACTGGTACATTACGGTACGTACGTACGCAATAGTATTGTTTTCTATTACTGTACAGTATTGACTTTCGCAGTTACTGGTAGATGGTCCAGTGCCGTATGGGCGACTCTGAAACGGGCACGTGTCAWTTGCATTCGAGTACATAGTGCCGTAGAAAATACTGTAGAAGAAGTACTTCGTAGTTAATACTATTGATATTGATAATAACCTCTGGAGCGACACTGGGACGACATGTACTCTTTTGACCGTCCCGTACCGGCMGGTAGGGTTTTCTTTCAGCGACATGAAGGTGACATACCGAGGAGCGTACGTACCCGAATSGAAGAATCTTCTTTCCAGAGTCTCTTGGATCTTTTCTCTTTTCTGGACAAGTTCATCTCAAGAAAACAGTGAAGCACAATTATCGTATTGTAGTTTACRCTAGTACGGCAGCGTTTAGTAAAAGACACGATTAGATTATAAATTACCTACATTACACACCCGTGCRAGGTAAGAGAATATAACCAAGTTATCAAAGMGAAAGCTTCAAAGGAAAAGTGATCATGGTGGATGCCCCGAAGAAGTATGTCAAGGTCGATGGCAAAATGAAGCTCAATCCAGAGTACAAGGCATGGATGATCGCTGAACGAGAGARAGAAGACGCCGCGAATTCCGCTCCGGCAGTAGCCGTCGCGGTGGCTACTGCAACGCCGGTAGAACCGGAACCTGAGCCGTCACCATCTGGGCCACCGGGCTCCTCTACTCCCGAACATACAGTCGGTGGGGGAGTAAACACGAGAGCTCCAGGTAAAATGGCAACCGTTTCGGGTGGGCACAACAACGTAGCACAGGCATTACGCAGTGTTGTTTCCGGGGGCGGAGGCAACGTGGCAAGCGGTCCAGTGTCTACCGTAGCTGGTGGAGAGCAAAATAAGGCAACGAAGGTAAGGGCCACTGTGTCAGGAGGGGCAGCAAACATGGCGACAGCAAATGAGGCTACCGTCGGCGGAGGTTGGAAGAATTCTGCCAACAATCCAGGCGCTACTGTATCTGGTGGCGTCCAGAACGAGGCGAATGGCAACGTGTCGGTGGTTTCGGGTGGAAAGATGAACAATGCCCAAGCCCGATTGTCTACGATCTGTGGTGGTATCCGCAACGAAGCCAATGGTGAATTTTCGACCGTGGTCGGAGGCAGAGACAACTCGGCAGGCGGGAAATTTGCTGTTGCGGTCGGAGGTGACGGCAACGATGCCGAAGGAAACTTTTCCATCGCCATGGGTCGCAATGCAAAGGCCAATCATCACAGATCTTGCGTTATTAATTGCGCCCTCGGAGACTACACGAATAAGTCAACATGCCACGGTGAATTCCGCGTTGCCGCTAAGAAATTCGTCATGSTTATCGACGATGTCGAGGTGGTCATCAACAAAGACAACGTCAGGGCTTTCAAGAATTTTGCAAATATCCAAAAGCAGCTTAAAGAGCAGCAGGAGCAAATCAACAAGTTGCAGCGAAACATGAGACGCCTGAATTCTARTGCTGATTATTAAGCTGGAGTCGAAAAGAGTAGAAGATGTTGGCAGTTCGATTGACACGCAAACYAGATCCCAGCCTTCTCAACCCATGAAAGATCCCTTAAATTTAAATTGTTGCCCATGTTATGAAGTAAATTAATCAGTGTTTCTAAAATTGCATCGTTTTCTAGGTATCAGTATCGTGTACAATTGTTCGATAGAGGCGAATTTGTGTTTCAGTATTCTCTTTCGAGAATACAAAGTTTCGTGGTTTTCATTCCGATTTTTTGCATTTGAATTCACAATTCAACTCTGAGATTTACAATTATGTTACAAAAGCAAAGGAGAAAACCTTTGTCACTCGTTGCGAGAGTTGTCAATTTTTTTTATGCCATCCCACTCCAAGAGAAACCTCCTCTAAGACCAATACTGCTAACACTAGGAGACAAATCGTTCATTTGAACGAATCGACCAAGATGTCTATCGGCATAGCCATTTTCGTCCAAAACAAGYACAGGKCGTTGGCGTCGACGCATGAAGTACATGCTCAAACTTCCAACAGCGAAAAGGGACGCCATTCCCGTTGCCATAAAGGCCGAAGACGAAGCATTTGTCGTCGCATTCTGAGTACATGCTTCTTCGTCATTAATCAAGACTCTAATTGTAACAAGTCGCATGAACCAACTATGGTCCGTGACTTCCTCAGGGATATCAAACTCCTGATCAATTGTGTATGTTCCCGCGCTTCCGCAATCTGATCCATCGCTAGCTGAAATAAGATCACAGATGTTTCCCCCCCTTTGTGAGTATTCGTCGAAACAGACCCCCGTGCTTCGGATGCAAGGGACGAACGTAACTTCGGCGTCTTCGAAAGCAGACGGAGCAGTAACAGTACCAGAGACTTCCACCTTATCGTCTTCTGCACACGATGCTTTAATTGACGACCTCGAAAAGATTCCGGAGTTGCATGTCGTGGTTCCCAATTTGAATCCTGGGCACGATGCGGTTGAAAAAGAAATCAGATGCAATGCCAGCAGGCAGTGAAATAGGATGGTAGATACCATTGTCTTGTTGTCTTGCTTTGGCAACTTCTCTTCCCTTCAAAAAGAAACACTTTCCCTKATCATTCAGTACCTTGCTATCGATGCTTTTTGTGCCTAAACGGGGACTCGCAATATCGTACCGTACGGTACGTCGTGCGTTCTCGTACTCGTAGCGATTTGTTCAAAAACCGATCGAGTACGAGTACGAGTAGTTCTCATACCCGTCATGGGAATGCCGATACCCGTAAATATTTTGAGACGAGAAGAAACTTTCCRATCACCTAATCAGAAACGGTTGCCAAGGCCGCCCGGCGAGCGCATGGCGATGCTATTATTTATCGAGCTAAATTAGCTTTTTTGTTAAAGAGTGTGCTTTGCATGTTACCGGCGCGCGCTTTTTCTTGTGAAGATTTCCCAAAATACCTGACTCACGGACGATGAATGGCCGATCATCGAAAAGAATTAGCAACCTCGTAGCGCTACCGTGGGTAAATTACCGTACGATAAAAGTAAGAAAGAATACATCAAAAAAGTAGATTTTTTTTACTTCGGGGTACGAGTACGTAGCAATTAAGGATCACGCAACAACATTTCTTTAATCWAACTACAAATCTAAACCCAAAAGAAATATGATGCACATCATCAGCCTCCTTTCTCTCTTGTTCGTTTTTTCAGTCCAACAGCAGAATGTCGAGGCATTCACCTGTGTTAGTGGCAAGAGATCCAATGCATTCGTTCTTCGAGCRACACCAGATGATTTCATCCCTGATCAAAACAGTGTCGCAGTCCTATCTCGTCGGGATATGATGCGCAAGGGTGCAACCTCGGCGATGACATCCCTATCCGCAGCATCCCTTGTAGCTGTGACATCCAAACCCGCCTTTGCCGATATTTATGACGACCAGGAGAAAGCACGCAAATTAAAAGCGAAGGAGGATGCCGAGAATGCCAAGAAGTTGGTCCCTGCTGTCCTGCTTGGTGGAACCGCTTTATCGGTGCCATTCTTCCTTCCCAACCTCTTGCGTCTCGGGAAGAAGTTTGTTTCCCTCGGAAATGACGACGGTTACGGCAATCCAAAGTAAGAGCAATGGCACCGCTCCGAAGCGTTTTACACGGATTCTTATCAAATCCACCGKTGTACCATTTAAAATTCGTAGCTTAGTCGTTGCTATAGAATTTTAAACAAATATTTTGATAGAGAACTTGATAAGCATTKTGTAGAAAGCTTGTGTAGAGCTCAGGGCCCGAGCGCTGTAGTGTATCTTCTGTAGTAGTGTTTGATGTCATCCAGCTAATCTAACGAGCGAACAAAATAGCGAAATGCAATGGCATCAGATGRCTGGATTGAAATCAGGAATGAGTTAATATCGCCGTGGAGATTWATATCCTACTTGCACATAGCCTTGTATCACAAATGAAGGAGATAGCAGAGGTGCGTCAACCCGTTCGTTTTAGGAGAGTTTCAGTGCAACTTCGGTCTGGACTGAGGACTTCAAAAACATGCATGGAKAGCAGTCAACAACGAGGAGGGAAATTTGACTTGGTTGTTTATAACAAACAWCAAGTTGAATTTCCAAATCGCCTTGTCAAAGCATGTGAGTCGGATTCGTGTTCGATGCACTTTCACCATAGTTCAGWGAAAGCARCACCACACCAACATCCTATCACCGAACGTAAACCAGAATACAGGACAATATCCAATCGAACCGACCAAACCCGATTTCACCCGCAGCGGTTTCGACACATCAGGGAACCCCCGCCTTTGGCGTGGTGGGGTCTCCYCCCCATTCGTTCCAGCTCCCGTCGTAGATCCACGGTTCCGGAAGCCCCAGYTCGTCTAGGACGAGCGCGAGGGTGCACACCGAGACGCCGGTCCCGCACGTCAAAAGGGGGGGTTGCTCCCCAAGCCGGTCGTAGYKYTCGTCTCCCATGGCCTTTCTCAGCACCTTCTCCAGCTCCTCCCTGGRTTTCAGCGTGGTGAAATCCTCTGGAAGGGTCAGGGAGGCGTACGGGACGTGGACCGCGCCCGGGATGTGGCCCTTCTTGGCAAAGGACGATCCACGGGTGTCAATGATCACGGAGGGCAAATTGGCGTCCGTCTTTTGTCCTTCTTGTTGCTGCTGCTCGTCCTTCAAGCACTCCAGTACGAATGYCATGTCTACCAATCGATTCCTCGCCTCGGACGAGATCCAGGGGTGGAGTGACGGGGGTTCCGATCCTTCTGCCAGATCMTGTGCCTGCAGCACCGCGCTGCCGTCATCGGAGTCCTTCAGTGGTCCTCGATCGACCGGTCCCCCCCGCTCGATCCACTCCTCCAGCGACCCCTGGAGCAGCCGGACGGGACCACCGCGGTAGTACTTCTGGAGCATGTACCACACGCGGGGAGCAAAGCGCGTGCCGTCCCGGCCGTATACCACAAGCGTRACGGGAGAAGCAGCGGGCGAGGGACCGCCGGTGGCATCGGGACCACCRCTGCCGACCGTGGTGGCGTCCGGCAGAACGCCCATTCGCTCGAGCGCGGAGCCGACCAACCACTCGGGTGGAAATACGTTCTTGAGGCCCTTTGGATTGTCTTCGGGAAACAATTCCSCGGTGGTGGCGAGATCGCCAATGTCCCAGTGGAAGGCACCGGGGAGCCGCGGCCCGGCCTCGAATTCGTCACGTCCGTTTCTCTCTCCTTTGTGGTACCAGGTGGCATCCACGAATACAATCCGTTGCTGTCGTTGCTCCTGCTGCGTTCCGGCACCTTCCCCATCCTTCGTGGCAGTACTCGTATTCCCGTCCAGCGAGTTCCATTGCTCCAAGCAATCCTGGATGGACCATAGATTTTTCGATGCGCCATCGACTCTTGTTCTGCTGCTCCTAATGCTTTCACCGCAACGGATGGCACCAACGTTTCCGGAAAGAACAGCCCCGTTGCGAAAGCGCCGAGTTCTTTGTTGCGCTCCCGGGATGCGGAGAATATCGGTGCGGAGCGACGGACGCGTCCTTCGTTGTAGGCCGGTGCCAGCGAAGGCCGACACAGAAACGGTTGCCGATGCCGTCAATACCGTAGCGACGACRGCTACAGCAGTTCTGGCTCTCCTCGTTCTCCCGAGCGATGCACCAAACCTTCCTGGAAGGGACTGCCGGGGCTTGTGGCTTGCGCACATTGCAATTGGTCCGGTGATCATCGGATCGATAGATGAAAGACAACAAATAAATCCACAGTTGTGCGGCGTCGTCGTCAACAACGTAATTGGTTTTCTTTTTCCTATTTTCGATGGTGAATTCTTCTTCTACCAATTGTGCAGCTGATTGGTTTCTTGAAGTTGATTGATATACTTTTCTCGATCATGGTTTCTACTGCAAAGGAAATCAATGAACTTCAATAAAACATGTAATCTCTAGCGAGTAACATAGGACAAAAGAAAAGATGAAGCCGAACTAAAAATTAAAGAGCTCAGACCAGTTTCTGTGTGTTCCAGCACTGCCTGTAGTTATTTAATTAACAAGAAGAAAATAGAAAGAAGAATGGGAACATTGATTTCTTGTTGTCTGTGATGTCTGTTGCCCATGATGTTGGGTACTGATCTTTTGTTCTTGATGTTATTGAGAGTATCAAAATTTAGCTTTTGCTAATACTAATACTAGTAGTAGTAGTACTAGTAGTACGACAGCAAGAAGGAGAATGATGTTTCAAGAAGAACAAGGAAAAGAAGAAGTAGTAGTAGCTACTAGTAGTACTTCTTACTACCTCTGTTCTTAAATACTGGTGCAGTTTGCACCTCTTTCTTGGTCAAAATAAGCTCAATATTTGGCCAATTTGAAAGCTTCTTATTTATTATGTTGATCTTATTTTATAGTAGTACTTTACTAAAGATGTGTTACTACTACTATGCCTTCTTGTAGTGTTTTACCGGTAGCAATGAAGGAGGAATAAGAAGCCTTCAGAAAGGATAATTTTTCTTATCAATATGAAAATACCGTCAGTTGGATTCTACTGCTGGTCACTTAATGACCAGACTRGTTTCTATAGAAAGCCAAGAGTGACACATTTTTGAGGCTGTAGTAATTCTCTTCAGTGTCGAGAAGAACTTTCTTGCAATTGCCATTCTTCTTGTTCAAAAGAGGTGCACCGTACCACTGTCATCATTTAATTGTCTCACAAGTTACTACTGTTTATTTCATGTGCAAAAATAATTTTATTCACACCCATGCTCAATTTTATCCACAGTACTGATTCTATATGTCTTAAGTAAATACTGTACCATTATTTTTGAAAAAATAAAGTAGCAGGGCAAACTGTAGCAGTATTAAGGAATGGAGGTAGTAGTAGTAGAGGGACAATTTTGGAGTCACCTTCTTCTTCACAGTCCACTCTCATCCAGTCAACCTTTTCAACATCCTCTACTAGTAGTGCCAGTACTAGCTAGTAGTAGTAGTACTAAGCAATGAACAAAATATCTGTCAATGTTGATAATTTCACAATCCTACTACTACTAGTACTACTAATATCAAATAGTTTCATGACAGACATGGTGAATGTAGATGACATGCTGCTGATAGCACCATTTGTTGCTTACAGTAAATATTTTCAACAACATCTGTGATGTTACTACTAATCATTGCAGGGGTTCTTCCAGCATCCAAGTTGTTAATCATTGTTGGATCTACTAGTACCCTTTCTGAAGCATTGTTACTACCACTTCCAAAAAGGCAGGTAGTACTACTAGTGTGGTGGTAGTAAGCTACAAAAAGCAAGATTAATGTGATTTGGCAATCTGCAGTATATATTTATTGAGTGTGTTCTTGTTGTTGTTTGTTTGAGAAAGTCAGAAAATATGCCACCAACAATGTTTGTTCTGTACTGATGTATGTTACACAAGCAATGTCTTCTGCTGGGAGGAGTTCTTTATCCCAACAAGATTTTAAAATCCTTCTTGTTGACTGGTGGTTATTTTGGAACATGCTCTTCTTCCAACATATTTGTTTTTCTTAAAACATCAACAAGGAGCTTCCCCCCAGATTACATCATCTTCAAATCTGTGTTTTTCCAAGTTCTAGAAATTATGTCTTAGTAGGTATGGTTTGAGGTGATTGAAGTAATCTACTAGTACAAAGACAATGGGTTATTTGTTTGATGTCACAGCATGATTCATCACAAGAAGACAAGTCTTATTTTCCCATCATGCTTTGTACTAACTATAAATTTGTCTGCATTAAGACAGGATGAGATGACAGCAAAAAGAATTCTGATGGAGGAAAAGTTCACCACTCCTCCCAATGCTTTGTGAGACATCTTACAGTACTAGTCTGGTACTACTAGTACTTCTAATACTGACCCCAATGAATTACTTTTGATGTTGTTCTGTTGTAACTGGACCACAAGAGAAAACTGATGAACTGCTCTGTGTGGTTTGTTCCACCACCAGCAATTACCAATCTCCTCCTGGATCTCTTTTTATTGAACAATAATGTGAATGTGTAGATGTGTTATAAAGTGGTGAACCAAAAGCAGTAACAAGCTGCTGACCAAATCCATTTTCTTGCTCCTTCTCATTTTGAAAATTCAATTTTGTATAGTGTCTAAATGATTTTAGTGTCTTACAAATCATGTTTGTCTTGGATGATAACATCAAAACTTTCACCATGTAGTAATCTGATACTTCTTGGTGGTAGCTTCTTATTTCTTTTCATATTTGTTAGATTAGATTTTGCCTATCATCTGCAGAGCAACAACAGTGATACATTAGCCTGGATTATTGTTAGCAAGTGCAAATGCACATGAATCTACTAGTGGTACTTTGGGTGCCTTCATTCTTCCACATTTATATGAACTTTGATATCTTGTACTAATTGAAGTGCCAATGTGTAGCTCATTCTTTTCTTTCTGTGAACTTATTCTAACAGCATGAACCATATCCCATGCCCATCTTGTTCTTGTCAATAAAATATTTCCAGACTTCACTAAATCAACTAGTACTACTACTAGTAAAATATTTCCAGACTTTGCTAAATCACCAACTAGTACTACTACTTGTTTTAGTACTTTGAAAAATGCTTCCATCATTATGACTACTAGTTTGAGAGCAGCACACCTCTCAAAGATTTTATGTAACTTGTCGTTGTTCTACTACTTCTACTACTGGTAGTAGTATTAGAAGATTTTTGAAGCATGTTTTGGCATCTGATTGCTTGACTGCTGCTGTTGTCAATATCATTATCTTTGCTGTATAGAATATTCTTTTCTTTCTCCTGAATTTCCTTGATATTGACTTCAGTATGTTTTAATGCAAGAAGTGCCTGCTGATCACTAGTAAAATTTCCCATTTGAGGAATCACTTAGTAGATTTTGTTTTATCACATTGTGAACAAGTGTCCCTGGATTGTTCATTCTTCAAGAAACTAGCAGCATTTGCTTCTAGGAGAATAAATTTCCTTAGCAACAACMTATTGTTAATCCATTTACAATGGGAAAAGWTGGGGGTTTMTTGTCATCATGGTTGTTTTGGCTCAGCATTAGACTAGTACTAGTATTGACAGAAAGGAAGGAGCCAAAATGGCAAGAGACAATTTAGTAGTAACTTGAACATTTTTGGAACTCTTACAATACTTGTCCTAAATGGTGGTGTCTTTGTAATATCAGCTGCATTAGAACTAGCTAGTAATTACTACTACTACTAGTACAATGAAACATTGCCTTTTTTGTCCAGTCATTTTTTTTGTCACTTCAATTTTGATGGTTATGTGGCTGATGACTGAATTTATCCAGCCTTGGGAGTTGGATTCTCTTCAAGAATCTAAAAGTCCAAAGAACCAATTCAATTTTTGAATGACTGGTGGTCATRACAATGAYAGAACATTCARGTCTTGGTGGAAGGAAGAATGSKGTTGTCTATRATTTTGGAATGAGTAATCACAACAACAAATGACTAAATATTTAAGTCTTTTTGGGAGGAAGTYCCTCTTTAATTTTGGAATGAGCATTGTGACAATAACAATGACTGAACATCATTGAATGTGTTTCTCTTTAATCTTGAAATGAATGCTGTAATTGTTTTGAGATCACAGTGGTCACTCCACCAAGATTCTCAAAAAAAAACTTGTTCCCAAGACTTTATACTTCCAGTCATCTACTATCATGATAAAAACATCAAGTCAAAATATTTGTATCGAATTCAAATAAATGGCAATAAATGCCAAAACAAAAGCAGAAATGGAAAACAACAGGACACAAAGAATAATAGTAATAGGAGTAGACAAAAAATATCAAACACACCAGCAGTAACACCAAGAATAAATATGACAAATACAAAAGCATATGAAAAAGAACAAGAATTCAATGATCAATGGACTAAGAAGAAGTCAGGCAGGGAAGTGAAAAGAACAACACCAAAGGCTAGTATGATTTTCATGGGATTACTACTACCAGTAGTAGTAGTAGTAATAATAATAATAATAGTAGTAGTAGTAGTAGTAAAGAACACCAACAGCAATAGTTAGTAGATTGGCTGCCGGTGATTTCACCCAAGAACTAATCACCATGCTAGTGGTGGTCCGTGCTTCTTGTGGTGCTGCAGCAACACCAAGAGATGAGGAAGAAGAAGGAGTCTGATAGTGACAAGGAGGGGCCCAGGGATGCTGGTCAGTGCAGCAGCAACAAGAACATCATCATCAGCAAGAAGCAGAACAAGATTAGTAGTAGTAACAAGAGGAACAAGCAAGAACAAGAAGAAGACGAGGACGAAGACGAGGAATTTCTTGTTGGTGGTGGAAAGAAGAATAAAAGAACAAGCGTGATTTTTGCAGGAGGCTCTTTAAGTAAGTTGGTTTTTTGTAAATGTCAAGAAATCAAGAAATGATAGGGGAGATTTTGGAAGATTTCTGTCACTATTCCTGCTGCTACTGCTACTGCTACTACTAGTAGTAGTCCCAGTACTACTATGACCAGCATCACTCCTTGAAAATCAACCGAAAATAATGCGGTCTGTCGTCGCTACGGTATGGTACGGAATGAGATACGAGATCATCCATCATCACTTTTTTACGAAGAGATCGATCCATCGTCATTTCGGATGCGAGTGTTACAGCAAGATTGACGATGGAAGAGAAGTTGTTACGAAGCCTTAATTACTGTAAAACTTAATTTAGCATCGCGGCCAACAATCTCTTCTGAAACCTGTGCCGAGYCGCAAGCCAGCAATACAACAGCAAGGAAGCGGCAATAAGCGTTCCACAYCACAATTGCGCAGCGAGCACTGTTCCGTTTTTTTGCGCGTACTCGTACCTTCSTTTCCATAAAAACGCTCCAGAAGAACATGCAGCCGCTGTGCCGAATGCTCTTCGCTCTGTTCGCTGCCGCGGGGACGATCGGC